TATTCGGCAAGCATGCTGTCGGCTTTGAGAGCATGGTCTTTTGAATTACAGCATTACAAACACCTTTATCGTGCTCATCAATACGTCTTCTTGCTTGTCTGATACTCTTACCAATGTATTTATTATCACGACCATTACAATTTATTTCATAAACTAATCAGACATTTGCTTCATTAACACATGTAGTTTATAATTTAAAGGCATTAGTCTACACTAGCGTTTTGGTGATCATTATTTGTTTTTTCTTTCACACACCACTCTTTCCTTTTTTTACTCGACTTCGCTTTCTTCGTTACTTTATTCACACAGTTTGGAATTGCATAGTAATGTGAAGTATTAGTCGTGCAGCACATACCTATGAAACAGGAAAAATAAAAAAACATTTTTTCAGTTCTATTATTGTGTCGAATGTGAAAAGGCGTTGATAGAATCGCGATACTGATAAAAGAGCATGTTCCTTTAAACGCAAGTAGCTTATTTTTATTAATGTTAAAGACATGACTGCTATTTTGAGTTCTTTTAAAAAGTTGTTGTTGTTGTCAACAGCATTTATCAGTTATACTTCGAGTAAAGTATAGATCTGTTCACTTGTTCCAATTAAGCAGAAACTTATTAGAGAATCGAAGACAAAACTGATACAACTATCACGTTGAGTCAGTCTGACGATGCAGTGCTCTTGTGAATGTGTGTGGAAATGTTTGTCATGACAACTATTGACACCAGAACGGACAGCATTGAATCGAAACTCATACTCCGTATGTCGTCGTTAAATTTGAAACTATATGATACTAAAAGACGTTAACTTCCTGATCAACGTCTCATGACATGTCTGTGCATTACTTGAAATCACCTGAAAGAGTTTATTAATACCCAATACTTAGTAAAGAACTTTGGATAAAAATTTCGCGTGAAAATCTTTTTTTCAGAATGAGAAAGCGATAAAAGTCATGTCAGACAAATCAGCAGTTCCCCCACGGATTCTAAACAATAGTAGTGGTGATGATAACCAAGTGGTTCAGACTTGCGATTCATGCCCGAGTAATGACGGGGATACAAGTGCCGTAAAAGAGTCAATAAAACTTGAAAACTCAACTGACATGAACGATGGTCCACAGCAAGTATTAGATCAGTCGCAAAACCATAATCATGACGTTCAAAATAAACAGTTCAGTTCTACACAGTATGCCAATGGGACGACAGTCTGTTGCTCAAACATCGAACAAATCAATGCAGTAGTTCAAGGCACAGCAAACAATGAGCAAACTGATAAGACTTCATGTTCCGAATCTGCCCTACGTGATGTTCAGTGTCTACCGAATGAAATACAATCATCACTATCTGAAAACCAGCCGAGCGAAAATTCAGAAGAAAATTATCCTTATCCTCCAACTACGGCAGAGAGTAATTTCGTTTTCTTTCCATTTTCTTCGACTACTTCGTCGTCACTCTTCAATTAACATTTGTTTACGTTTATTATTTAGTAGCCAAACCCAATACCGGCGAAGACCCTACAACTTTCGAAGAGCACTTCCCTAACCAGACAATAGCTCATGAATTTGATCATGAGAAGGGTAAGGCACAATCTTTGCTGAGTTTGCTATGTGTATTAGAGCCTCATAAATGAAACCTATGCTGAGCTTGCAGTCGATGGACTCTCACTTTGAATGAAGATCGAATTGTTTAATATCAGCAGTTCTTTCTTTCCTTAGCCTGGCGTGAGCTGACGTTCCATCCCAGCGGTGAAATTGTTCAGCCTCATCAAATATATCCAAAGCCTCCATCAGTTACAGCAGACGATGCATATAAAGGAATATCCGGTTCAATGTTGGGTATGGCAATCGGTGATGCAACGGGAGCTCATGTAGAGTTCCGACCGCGTTCGTATTTGCAACAACATCAAGTAACAGATCTTGTGGGCGGTGGTACGTGGGGATTAAAGGCTGGTCAATGGACAGATGACACCTCTATGGCGCTATGTTTGGCTGCCAGCCTCATTATTAAACAAGGCTATAATGCCTATGATCAACTTGTGAGATATAAATGGTGGTGGAAAGAAGGGTAATTAGTAAATGTTTTGTGTGACTCACCCATCTAATCTGCGTTAGTGATTGGTGGCGTAAAGTATGTCCGAGAACCAGGCCTCGGCAGTCCTATTAAGGAAATGGTCACTGTCCCACACTACTGGACATTAAGAAAAATAGAAATGATCTATAAATATTAATCGTTTTCTAAGAAAATTCTTCGTAAGATCGAATATTTCAGCAAGCTTTCTGAAAGGGTAGCCAAACTTCCAACCTTGCTAACATGGAATGTGCGAA